CCGAGTGTGGCATTAATAAAAATACAAACTATTAAACAAATTATGTTTTGACACAGGGTAGTCTAGTAGTTAGATCCAGGTTCAATGTTTCTTAATTTCAATTGAATTTCTTTAAGCCCACATCAATATTCATTACTCACTCACTCACTCACTCACTCGGAAGCGTTGCATCCCTTGGGCACGCCAGAAACCTATGATTGTGGGTTCGAATCCTGGTTCGCCCATATTATGTTGCTAGGTTTGTAAGCACCATACCCGTGCTCGTGGGTTTCACCAAAGTGGTTAATGTCCGAGACCTGCATCACTTCGGGCTTTCCTCCCACATTAAGCTGACACGCCGTGATATAACTGGAATACTGTTAAAAGCGGTGTTAAACACAACTCACTCACTCACTCACTCACTCACTCACTCACTCACTCACTCACTCTCCCACTCACTCACTCACTCTCCCACTCACTCACTCTCTCACTCACACACTCACTCACTCTCCCACTCACTCACTCACTCACTCACACACTCACTAATCGCGAACAGTTCTAGAGAACAGACTCAGGACTAATGACATCACTTACAAGGACACAGTTTGACAGGAACTTTGTGGCTCAGTGATATGTTCACATGCAGTCAGGATCCATAATACATATGATAAATGATTGTGTCACCCGAGAGGTTTAGACTATATACTCACCAGTTTGAAGTTTAGGAAATCCCTGTGGAGGTCGCCACGGAAACATACATTTCCTGTTATAATATTTGATGGAGTTGAGTGCAAGGTCACATTATTGTAATCAACTCCAACTGAGAGGACTTCCTGCATAGAAAACTGTACAAAATTCAGAAAGGGAAATTGAAACGGTTTAAATAAATGAGAACAAAAAATTTGAAAATCTCCTAGTGTACTTCATAGAGATCTCAGAATAACAATGTCAGTAAAAGAATCATCATCATCATCATCATCATCATCATCATCATCATTGCAACAGTAAAGATGTATTTAGTAGCACATGAAGAGTTTTAAATGATCTTATCAGGGTATGAAACTCCCAAAAATTTCAGCCAGACCACAGGACTGGCTAGCTGAAATACTTGCCAGCCCTGACCAAAACCTGCCTGCCCACTATAATCATATGTTTCTCAGGATAAGGACGGGGTTTCTTTTTGGTTACATTTTATCATTCATCTTTACATGTGAATTAATGATTATCATCGGAAATTTTTTAGAATATTTTCACATATGAAATATAACCCGACCGTCGGGCAGGGGGATTTGAAAATCTGGCAGCCCGAGTTGAAATCAACCCGTCTCGGGCGGTCGGGCAGGCAGGTATTTCGAACACTGATCTTTTAAGTATTTGTGTTTGGACCTTCATTAAACCTGAAGAGAAACGTTGTGATTCATACAAATCATATATGGAGTGGCGATATTGTATCTAATTAGTGCATGAGGTGTATGTGTGAAGTTCTTTTACTCCATAAAGTCTTGGAGGCCAAGTGTAAAAACTAGGTTCCAAGAAATGAATGTTATTTACTGCTAAGCTTTGACAGCGTCATCTGTGTGTTATATCTCGTTAGCTGACATTAGGTTTCTGTGAGACGAATTATGTGGCATTTATGTCATTTTCACTGCTAAATACATCCACAAGAATGTCTTTGATATTCTTAAACTGTTGACTCTCATTATTTGCCATTGTGTAATATGTTTGTGTTTATGTTTTGGACTTCACAGAGGTAGAAGAGGGGGCAATAAAAGTAAACGTTTATTACCCATTCTCCAAACTGTTGAAATAGGGTGCGGACATTCGACTAGAGATGACTGGTAGCTTAGTTTTGTGCAACGTGTGGTAGTATGTGTATTTATTGCATAAGTGGGTAGTATGTGTTTGTATTGCATAAGTAGGTAGTATGCGGATTTATTTCATTAATAGTTGTCTTGTGTATGTATTGCACAAATAGTATGTATATTGAAAACCCTTTGTATCCTATGCTCAACAAATAAGTATTTTTAGGGTGTTCGGAGTAAACAAAGTACATTTTATGTTTCTTGAATGTGTGGTCAGTTTTAGCCATTGATTCATGATGTGAACCGGGGAACTGTCTACTGACTTACCACGACAATATATTCATTTCTGGAATTTTTAGTTTTTGAATGAAAATATTAGTTTTTGCATGATGATATTTGAATAGAATTGAAGACAAGCAATATTACTGAGTCATGAAGCAATCAATTTTAAATGAAGAATATAATTATTTTATATCCCTTATCATTTAGCAAAATACTTTAACAAAAATGGCAAACATTTGAAATCCAAATCAGTTGACAATGTTAGATTATGGGGTGAGTTCTAAAACAAAATAATGGTCGTATTTGTCACCAGTCATATTTGTCACCGGTGATCTCAAAATGAACGTACTCGTGTATAAGAATGAATTGATTATTGTGAATATAGTGCTACGGATGATTGTGTCGTAATCTGATGGAATGTTTACATCAACTGACTCAGCACTGATCAATACTACGGAGCGGACTGTGCTGTAAATACAAGCAACTCAACATTACTCACCGATCCCTCCACGCTCACTCCGCCGTTAACGATGGATCGATGAACGGCGTAATCGCCAACGTTAACCTTTGCTTTGCTTAAATCTATGGGATTTTTTTCACAGCGACATTTGCATTAAAGAAATGGGCATTTGTGAATGACTGTTGACCTTTGTTTGTGGACGACTAGCTGTTTTGTCACATGTGTGTAATGATTTATCAATAGTGTATTGAAATGAAAAATCAAGCTATTTTCGCAACAGTTAAGATGGCGGTAAATTGAGACGATGTTTCAAGAAAATGGAAATTCTTTTGTGGGCAGAACCATGGATTATCATTGAACACTGTCAAAATGAATCAAAAACTGTAATTGGTTAAATATGAATAAATATTCATATCATGAGCAGCTTTGTCTTTGAAAAATTGACCAGATTTGAGAATTTGAGTTAAATGTTCTAGAAAACAATAAACACCCTCTTTCATGTGAAATACAGATGATGCAAGGCAAAAAATATTTGGGAACCAGGGACAATATGAAAGCATATAAAACTTTTAAACGTCTTAAGAATTATGTAAACGACTGTATGAAATTGTCATATTTTGTGTCTTTTCACAAAGTTTTCGTTTTCTTCAGGCCAATTCCCCACCTAGTAAAGCAGATGTTAAAATGGCATTTTGATCTTTATGAAGACAAATTTTCCTGCATTTGCCTGTTAGTGTTTATTTGTGCAAACAATGTTCTTTCCCCTAACACAACTAAATACCAGTATTGTGAAAGGCGACAAGATGTAGATAGATCTTGTTTGGCCTGCGGTAGTTGTTCCTGGGGGTTCTGTGAATAGCAGAGTAGTCAATTACCGCGTGCACGTGTACGGCGATGCATCTCCTCTTCAGCATCAACGGTAGCAGCAACAGCAATGGTTACACTGTGCAGATGTGGACATCCTACTCAGCACAGCTTACATCATGCACTGCAGATTTGCTGGCTTGTGTTTAGGGCGTTAACGTGCATTGTTCTCAAAACGTTGTTTGCGTTTTAAATTGCAATACAGTTGTGTTTTTTAAAAGCCATGTTTTTCACATGTGACAAAGATATTGTGAACCTTTACAGTCACTTTTGTTTCTGTCTGGTGTTGAAGTCAAGGGATATTCTGTTTATTCAACCAGATCCTTTTTTTTAGATACATGTTAGATATTACACTGTGTGTTGGATAACACAGATGATGTATTGAGGATTAAGCAAGTACCTAACAGGCTTTTATGCAAGTGGCGATTAGTTTTGTTTCTTCATGATTGCCGAGGAAATGGATTTATTCTCAGCTAAGTCTGCTTAATATTGTGGTTGAGGTTATGGGGACCTGTGCATGAACTTTTCTGATGCACCTTGCACACTTATTAATAGGTGTTTGATTATTTTGACCTTTGCCGAAGTTCATATTGTTGATTGTAGTATCACTTCAAAGTTTCATTTCAGGGAATGATACCTTTGATCTCTGCCATCAAACAATAGTATTAATTGTTTTTACTTTGCAGCGTTTTATTTCCAATATGATTAAGAGACATTCTTGTACTCGTACTGTATCACTGAGTAATGAAAGTAATTATTTCTTTTGTTCAGATGATTTCACTGGCTCTTGAATAGAATTTTATGATTACACATTTAACAAGCATCTTAGAAGAAATGTATCTCATTGAAGCTCTGCATTGTGAATTCATTAGTTTTGAAAACAATTACAAATGTTTCATGTTTCAATGATAAGAGTGCTTTTAACTATGGGAACATAGGGATATGTTTGATGTTCTGTGCTGAGAGGCGATGTTTTTCATTGGACAACAGGCAGAGTGAAGGACAAGTTGACAGGATTGTCCTAATCTGCAGACTATATTTGCACGTGTTTACGTTCTTCGGATTCGATAGTGTTAATGGTTTATTTCGGTATGATTGTGTGGGGTATGGGTGGTCCGGCTTTATAAGGTGTCCAAGTGGTTATTTTGGAGTGAGTGAGCGAGTATGATATGAATTTTAGCAATATTTCAGCAATATTGCTGCAGGGGACACCAGAAATGGGCTTCACACATTGTACCCATTACTGGGATAAATTGTTCCAGAAACTGATGGAAAAGGTTTTTTTTCGACACAAATATCTTTTGTGATGAGTGTGGATTTGTTCTGATCAATATTCTGTGTGTAACTGGATTAGAAGGGGGCTCAAGTTGTTGATTGCGTATCATCGTACCCGAGTTGCGAAGGATGTTGCTCATGATATCCACCACTGGTTTGTCTGGCCCCAAATCTTTGTTGTACAGGCCACCCTGATACGGCTGGAATATGTCGGATTCTGACATGAAATAAATAAACACGTATTGTGCATCAAACAAATGTGGTAATGTGAGATGTGAGATGTGATGTGGCAATGTGAGATGGCCATCCTGTGCTAACTTGTCCTGTCTTTATTACAGTGGAGCTACCACCCCAGAAGTCGGAGACTGAAACGTCCCGGGTGCTGAAACTGGACCAAATGGCAGAAGAGGACCAGAAAGACAAGTCTGGGAAAATGGAAGACATCAAGGGAGATTCACGGCTTAGTATTGAGGTAAGGATGAGCCTTGATTCCCCCCTCCCTATCTGTGGGGTTGTGTGGCAGGAGAGGTCCTACAGTGGTTCTGATAGTCAAACACTGATCTTTACAGTGTTCCCGTTTACCAGTAATTACCAGTTTTGTACCGGTAGAATTAGGCATGGATCGGTAATTCATGTGACTGCCAGTCCCTGTGGGCCGGCAAATACAGTACCTTATAAATCTTTGTTGTTGAACAAAACATTGGCGATATTTTTTTAATGAAGTCAGCTTGTCTGGTCCCATCAGGGTTTCCCCATGTCTATTTTTAGTGCAAGGCAATAACATTTCACTGTGCTTAAAGGTTTATATATATATTTGTAGTGATTTAGCCATGAAATATTTTAAAAAAATAAAAAATTGTGACTGAAATTGTGTGAATGATGTGTAGATCTTACTAAATTACTTCAGAGATGACGTCATTGCATTGAACATGATGTTGAAAGAATTACCAGGTAATTTTCATACGTTTTTTTTATTTGTTGAAAGTTGGGACTGACAAAAGTTAGGGGGGGACTGGTAAATTTTAGACTAGTACCCCTGATGGATCAGTCCTCAGAAGGGGTCACAGGTGGCCCAGTTGTCTGAGGTGCTGCAATTTGCTGTGCAGAGTTGCGTCCCTTGGGCACGCCAGAAACCTATGATTGTGGTTTTTAGGTTTGTCAGCACCATACCCATGCTCTTGGGTTTCACCGAAGAGGAAAATGTCTAAGACCTGCATCACTTCGGGCTTTCCTCCCACATTAAGCTGACACACCGTGATATAACTGGAATACTGTTAGAAGCGGTGTTAAACACTCGCTCACTCACTCACTCACTCACTCACTCACTCACTCACTCACTCACTCATTCACTCACTCCTTAGGATGATGGTGAAGTTGTGCCACTTCCACACTGTTCCACTTCCTAGGCTCCGTTCCACAAAGCGATCTTAGTGCTATGATTATCATAAAAGTATCTGAGTTATGATCACCTTAGCGCTAAGATGGCTTTGTGAAACAGAGCCAAGGAATTGTGAGAGAGTGTGGAGCTGGAAAACTATCACCATCAGCCTGATCTTGACTTCGTGTCAAACCTCACTCCCTCACTCACTCACTGAGGCTGTAAAATGAAGCTTGCCCTTGATGAGCACGGAAGTAAATTCATGATGGACGCTGAGACAGGTCGTCGTGTCAAACCTCACTCCCTCACTCACTCACTGAGGCTGTGAAATGAAGCTTGCCCTTGATGAGCACGGAAGTAAATTCATGATGGACGCTGAGACAGGTCGTGGAGATGAAGAGTCCAATTAGCAAAACAGACCTGGAAGTTAAATTTGATCAGTCTTGATCATGTCCCTTGGGAATTTAGAGACAGAACTGTCTCAAAGAGCAATAAAATTTTCCAAGAAATCTTTTTGACAAACAATTGCCCCCCTTAGGGATTCCTGGGCATAATAGGTCCCCAGAATCCATGCTTGTTATAAGATCCAAGTGTTGAGAGGATCAGGTTGTTACTTTTTGTGTCCTGGAGGAATGTGTGTGATGGAGTAGATAGTGGCTCATGCTATTATGGTGTTCATGCTCTTCAGGGCTATGTCTTGCCCTTTCTAAATACCTAGCAAAGATTTGAGTTGTTCATGCTTTTGGGGTTTGTCACAATGGTAAACATCTAAGACCGGCATCACTTAATTTGGGTTTTCCTCCCCCTCAAGCTGACAAGCAATGATATAACTAAATTACTGTCACTCACTCAACGTGCCATGATATAACTGAAATACTGTCACTCACTCACTCAACGTGCCATGATATAACTGAAATACTGTCACTCACTCACTCAATGTGCCATGATATAACTGAAATACTGTCACTCACTCACTCAACATGCCATGATATAACTCAAATACTGTCACTCACTCAACATGCCATGATATAACTGAAATACTGTCACTCACTCACTCAATGTGCCATGATAAAACTGAAATACTGTCACTCACTCACTAAATGTGCCATGATATAACTCAAATACTGTCACTCACTCACTCAATGTGCCATGATATAACTGAAATAATGTCACTCACTCACTCAACATGCCATGATATAACTCAAATACTGTCACTCACTCAACATGCCATGATATAACTGAAATACTGTCACTCACTCACTCAACGTGCCATGATAAAACTGGAATACTGTCACTCACTCACTCAACGTTCCATGATAAAACTGAAATACTGTCACTCACTCACTCAATGTGCCATGATATAACTCAAATACTGTCACTCACTCACTCAATGTGCCATGATATAACTCAAATACTGTCACTCACTCACTCAATGTGCCATGATATAACTGAAATACTGTCACTCACTCAACATGCCATGATATAACTGAAATACTGTCACTCACTCACTCAACGTGCCATGATAAAACTGAAATACTGTCACTCACTCACTCAATGTGCCATGATATAACTGAAATACTGTCACTCACTCACTCAATGTGCCATGATATAACTCAAATACTGTCACTCACTCACTCAATGTGCCATGATATAACTCAAATACTGTCACTCACTCACTCAATGTGCCATGATATAACTGAAATACTGTCACTCACTCAACATGCCATGATATAACTGAAATACTGTCACTCACTCACTCAATGTGCCATGATATAACTGAAATACTGTCACTCACTCACTCAATGTGCCATGATATAACTCAAATACTGTCACTCACTCACTCAATGTGCCATGATATAACTCAAATACTGTCACTCACTCACTCAATGTGCCATGATATAACTCAAATACTGTCACTCACTCACTTGACATGTCATGATGTAACTCAAATACTGTCACTCACTCTGGCATAAAACAACATTCACTCACTTCGTCAGGCATGCAAGTCACGTGTCTTGGAAACACTAAGTGTGCTAGTGGAACAGCAACTGACATAATCAGTAATATCTTTCTCTCAAGAAATACGTTCATCACAATGGCAATCACCTCTCACATTTCAACAGCCTCAAAACACCACTCCAATCAAACAGCAAGTAATACTATGTAAGAATGTCCTCGTGGCCTTTAAAGTCATGTTAGCTGCAGGCAGTAAGTATGTTTCCTGTTGAGTTGGATCAGACTTAAAACAGATTTTTGACATCATATACCAGACTGGCCCAAGGGGAGATTACTCTATCTGTCTATCTCCCACTTGTGCTCAGCTATGTGGGAAGGTAACCGATACAATGACATTATGTCAAGGCCGTGATGTAATATGTGTGATAACATCTGTTATCACCTCGTCAACATTACATATCAGCTAGTTGAGAGACAGGGCTCACAGGCCATGACCAGTTCTTTTGTTTTCTTCCGAACAAGAATGTTGTTTACAAAGATGGACAAAGACGATTGTGTCGCCTCATGATTTAAAAATGTTGATTGTCATGTAGTATTCATGAGAAAATAATGGAAAAGGTTGTCCATCATCAGGCTAAACTTAAGCTTGACAATAGCAGGGGTCAGATGGACAATAATATCTCCCGGTGTTTATCTATACCCACCTGCCCGAGAGTCCGAGACTTGCTGTGGTTTTTCCTTTGTTAATCTCATGAAGGATAAGAACTTATATTGTGAGTGGCATTTTGATAATGACTCTATTTTAATATATCACAGAAAACTTATGTAATTAAACCATGTATCGATCAATGTTTTCAGTTATTGTCTTCTGTAGTTATTTGTCTATATTGTTCTGTCCAGTGTAAAATAAACACCGGACTGGCAACTTATTAGACTTGCCAGTCCAATTGTCTGACTGGAATTTACCTGAAATTTTAAACATATATCTTCTGTGACAGATTGCCAGTACGTTCAGCAAAAACAGGTCATTCATATATAGGTATGTAGACTCTGTAAAAATAGTGTAACACTCAGGTTCGTGACTGAATATATACTATTGATAGAGATATTTTCGTCTTTCCATGATACACGAAACTGACTTTCATAATATGTCGAGTGTATATTTGAAAGGATGACATATCTTATGATCATTATCAAAAGTTGTGTATCAAAAAAGGTTAAATGCTGGGATAAGGCCAGAATAATGTGTTCTTGTTTATGGGTCTGTCTAGTTTGATTTTTGGCAAAAGTTAGGAAAAACATGATGGCCTGATTTGACAACTTTCAGCTGTTCAAATATCATATCTCATATCAAGATGCATGCCGAATCACAACCAGAAGTCTTGTTTCAGACATAGTATTTGTAAATAGTATCTAGTGTTTTAGACATGCCACCACTGGAATCCTGTGCTAAATAATTGATAGGTTCAAATGTTAAAGGCTTGTCAAATTAAAGACCATTTAATGAAAAACATGTCTGCATTTTGCCGAGTATTAATTTGATTAGCAAATGGCACATTTAGTTCATCTTACGCTGTGATACTTTCTAAAAAAGAGTTTTTATAAAACTATAAAACTGAGATGGTTCAAACTGCTCATAAAGTCGGGCATGTGAATACTTATTAAAATATTTCTGCAGCTTAAAGAGTGTGTTTTATGACTTAGTAATTCTAATCATTCGCGGAGCTGATTACATAACAATAAATCACCCAAGTTGTCCGAGTTAAAAGCCTGATCAGACCGGTGTTAAGAAAAACTTGTGAAATTGATATGCTAATATCTGCTGTTTTTCCTGGCCCTAATGTACGCCTCTGTTGGAGGCCTGATAATTCCTGTAGCCATTCAACATCAAAGACTGCTTAAACTTAGTTTTCCCTGAAAAAATGCAGATGTTCTGTGATAAATCTTTGTTCTGATATTTAAATAGAAAATGAAGTTTGTGTGATGGACATTCTGGTCAACAGATTTTCTCTTCACAGGTTTGTAGAAGTATTACTTCCTGAACTGATCAAATAATAAAAGAATATCTGATTTTTGATATTGGGAACCACCATTTGCCTAATTCAAGAACAAATTTCTCTTTAAACTTCAACCTATTC